CTCTATACAAAAGAATTAAAATGTATTTATCTATCTAGTTCAAATCTGTCAAGGGTCTTCTGATAGTTTTCATCATGATGATGAATCAGAGTAAGCGTGGGAGTAAAAATATAAGTAAAAGTTGGTATGTAATTGTGAAAAGGATACGAACCCTTATTCTCACTCCCTATCTCCCTCAGCTTTGTCAGAAGTGGGCGTGCGTGCGGATCTTACCTCTCTCCACACCCCCACACCCACACCCGCACCATAATTGAAGGGTAATACATTAACTATACGACATGAGCATACTGATCTCGTCAAACTTCTAAAAGGATTTGAACAGTAAATAAAATCTTTATTGAATTTTCTAAAAACCAAACATTGGATTATGATTAAGATCTGTAAATGAAGAAAAATTGCAATTAATTGAACATAATCGTATTTACATTGAGAAATTAAAACAGAATTAAGTTTAGTAAAAGAATAAGAAGAACAGAAATTACGTGATAAAATGAAAGTTGATTTCAAGTAAGAAAAATTTTTTAAGAAAATCATTTTAAATATTTTGCTTTTCTTCAGTAGATTAATCCAAAATAATATTCGTGAAAATCTTTTACATGAAAAGAAATCACTTCAAAGTCGTCAACAAAATGAATTAAATAATATTCAAGAAATTATTGAAAGAGAAAAACAAGAATTACAAAAAAAATTAAGTTGTATATACGTATAATATTTATCTTAAAATAATTAATTTCATATATTTAAAGAACTGATATGGTATCAGATCTTAATTTTGAACAACGAAATAATACAAATATACAAATACGTTTATTACAAATGAAACATGAATTTTATGAGGTTTGATTTATTTTCAATGATAAATTATATTTTATTTATAATATTTAGAAATTACGTAATGTTGAAAATCGTTATAAAAATGAAATTGAAGATTTAACACGACGTTATGAACAAATGAAAGTTGAAAATGATACACTAGAGAAACGTTTAAAAGAGGTACTTGCATTATCTCTTACTTTATTTTTCAATTCGAACTTATTCACAATATTCCTAAAATTTCGAACTAATTTTTGTATTCCATGAAATCATGAGATTACAAAAGATTAAAGATTAACAAAGTTGTTATATTTTAAA